TCTCTTTTCATCTCTGCAACAATCCTTTCATGAAGGTGGAGAAATAATTTTAAGGGTGAGGAAACTGAGAAGAAATATTTCTAACATCATGGAGCTCATGAGCAGAACTGAATCTATCACCCTGGTCTCACGCAGCCTGTCCACAGCTCTGTCTGCTAACTGTGTTCTTGCTGGAGCTGTTTAGGCAAAATACTTTAAATATTGAATTAAAATTTAAAACCTCCCAAGAGTACTTAAAATGTCTACTAATGTTTAATGTGTGTGTTCCTATTTCAGGAGTACATCTTTTATGTAAATGGCAAATGCCCCAAATTCCTGTAGTTGAAACATATTTGGGCACCGTGGAGATGCTGGCTTGAATCCACATTGCATGACTGTCTGCGCTGCCCTGGCCTGTTACAGTTCTGCTGAGTTGAGGGGCAGGAAATGGAGAAGCCGTGGCTCTAAGGACTCCAGTGCTTTTCCCCAGGTGCTCTTTGTACCTTCACTGAATTCCTCAGGCAGCGAATGGCATCCAGAAGGCAATGTGTCTTAATGGTTGGCTTTATCCTGGGCCAGGGTCTCTCCACCTCTACTCACTTGACACTTGGGACTCAGTACCTGTCTTAGTCTAGTTTCACACTGCTGATAAAGACATACCTGAGACTGGGTAATTTACAAAGAAAAAGCATTTATTGCACTCACAGCTCCATGTGGCTGGGGAGGCCTCACAATCACGGTGGAAGGTGAAAGGCAAGTCTTACATGGCAGCAGGCAAGAGAGAAGGAGAGCCACGCAAAAAGAAGCCTCTTACGCAACCATCACATTTCGTGAGACTTATTCACTACCACAAGAACAGTGTGGGGGAAATCACCCCTATGTCTCAATTATCTCCCACCGGGTTCCTCCCACTACACATAGGAATTATGGGAGCTACAGTTCAAGATAATATTTGGGTGGGGACACAGCCAAGTCGTATCAGTAATTCTCTGTTTGGGGGTTGTCCTGTGCACCACTGGCTGTTCAGCAGCATTCTTGGCCTTGACTCACAAGATGACATTAGCGTTCTCCACCCCAAGTTGGGACAACTAAAGATGTCTGTGGACATTGGCAAATGTCTCCTGGGGGTGCAAATTGTCCCCGGTTAGAATGAGACAGATGTGCCTCATCTTTTCACCCCCCACCCACAGGCAGATCTTCTCTTGCCCCATTTCTCTGAAATGCATTGTTTCTTCTCAAGAAAAACACAAACGATGTCCAGAGAGTGTGGCCAGAATGGCTGTTGTTCTCTGAGCATGTACTGTGTGTGTGCCAGGCACCGTGACATGCATTTTGCAGAGACCCTGTGATTTGATCATCACCATTGCCCTATGAATCAAGCGCTATCATTGTCCAACATTATAAACATGGAAGCAGTTTAGCAAAGCTAAAACCTGGCCCACATTCCCCAGAATAGTAAACAGTGATGGCTCTTTGGGCTATACACTTGGCAGAGGCCTGAGACTTTGAAAAGGGGGATCTCGACCCTGTGGCCCAGGACCTCACTAGGATCCTCCTAAACATGCACATGGAAACTGTGTCCATGAGCGTGTGTTGGTCACATGGATGGTAGTGAGTCCAGGCGTGTGCACGTGTCTGTGCACGTGTAAGAGACCGCATGAGGTAAGCAAACTCTGCTATTCTACCAGAAGAGTTTATGGAAGAGGCAGGCCGTCCTCAGCCCTCCTCAAACAAATGAACCCTGGCAAATCCCAACCACATACAAGTGATTTAATGTTCTATCAAAACTCATTCAGATATTCAGGCTAATACTGTTCCATATCAAATGTCATTGATATCGACATTGTGGGATCTTAGCAGGCCCTGCATAAATGCAAACCACCAGGGAGCTTTTCTTGGGAAATCCAAGACTGAGAAACAGGAAGTGGGAAATGTTCTGAAATGTTCTATAGGAGCGGGTCGAGCTTTTAAAGCATTTAGCACCCCTGAAATCATCACCCCTGAAGGACTAAAATCTCAATGACATAGACCCATGCAGAGGTATCCCTGGCACTTAGGGGTGAAAGCCCACACCTCCAGGAGGAAGCTCTGGGAATGCTCCTCATCAGCCATCCCATCAGTGCAGTTCTGCAGCTCCCCACATTTCCCCCAAGGCCTGAGATGCCTGTGCTTAGCCGACAGGTGAAGTCTCCCAGAACTATGATGTATATACAGCCAATGTCCTCGGAGAAGAAGCCCAATAAGGCAGAATTTCCATATTCCTAATAAAAGAGACCATGCCCTGGAGCTGCTGCCTCCAGGAGAGACCCCAGGAAGTATTGGCTACAGAGGATTTAAAACGTATGGCTGCCCTGCCAGATCTGATCACAGATATCAGTGGGGTCTCATCCCAGGTTGCTACGAGACTCTTGGAAGGACCAAAAGCCATCAGGCAGCAAATAGATTGCATTCCTTTATGCCCAGAGGATTTTCCAGCTGCCCTTTTCAGCAGCATCACTTTTCTTCTTCACGTGCATGGAACCAGGGGTACAATCAAGGTTAGCGTCTCGGACGTTGAACCAGATGGAAGGCATTTAACACTGACTAACCGATGACAGGCTGCCATCCGGGCTGCTGGGAGGGGCCTTCCACTGTCCACTGCCTGCCATGCCTTGGGCATTTCAACCATGAAACAGGAGCAGAGTGTTAGGAATAGGAAGGAAAATGTTCACCTCTCCCTGGGGTGGGAGGAGGCTCCAGGAAGCACCATCAAGAAAGCCAAAGCTGCTTTTCTCCCGACTCCGAGATTCCACCCTGTGCCTGGGGCTCCAGACATCCTTCCTGGGGTCCAAGGCCAACGCACTAACAGCTTTCTTACCACATCAGGAGGCGGGTGTCTTGGAAGATCTGTCCAGAGAAAGGGACGCCAAAGAATGACCCTCCAACGGGAGAACTGAAGGCCCTCTGGTCCCTGGATTTGAGCTTGGCCCGGGGCCTCCTGTCTATCCCGCCTCCCCTGGAGGCCCATGCCATATCCACATGCAGCTTACAGTTCCCTCTGCCTCCTCTGCACCACAGTCATAGGGTGGGGCTGAATTTTTTTTTTCAATATTAACTCTCCTACCCTCAGTACACTCTGTGCCCCTTGATCGGGCCTCTGTTATCCCGCCTGGCTCCAGGGAAGGACTCTGCAGTGGAAATCAAAAGAAAGAGATTCTGAGTCCAGATAACTACGAACAAGCCAGTGAGTCTTCCAACCCTAGGCAGGACAAAGAAGGGGATTTCTAGAAGGAAGAGAGAGAACACAGTCTCTGGAGCTTTCCCGAGATGGAGCCTGCCCCGGCAGACAGCAGACCCCAGGGACTTTGCAGGGTCTGGGACAGCAGGGCATGGTGCCCTGAGCCCTGTGGAAGACTGAAAATCCCCCCAAAGCAAAGGGTGCCACCTGGTGAGTTTGGGTCTGGTTCAGCGTCATCCTCCCTCCCTCCCTCCTCCACTGCAGGGTGGGAGGAGGCAGCAGGGACAGCCCCCCAGACTGCAGAGCAGCAGAAAAACAGAAAATGTCCAGCGAGGCAAAAACAGCAGCAAGAGCTGAATGAACACGGGTGGCACAGGAGCCCTGCAGAAGGACCGACAGTATGTGGACCCCTCAGACATCCGTGTGGACAGACAGCCTGGAAGACCCCCACCCACCCCAGCACTGTCAGCCCCTGGGAACCTACTGAAAGTCTAGGGAAGGACATGGGGGAGACCGATAGATGGACCGCGATGGGGCCTCACAATAGCAATTCGGGCTGAGCATGTGAACTGCAACGGATGCCCCTCGCCCCCACTCACTTTAAATTCACTACTGGAAAAGTGTGTTTCTGCCTGAACTTGAACCCCTAAAAGGCTCACAGCACACATGCAATCCCTTTTTATCACCAAGGAACACATATTTGGGTCAAGAACTTTCCCGATCTTATGTTTCCATCCTGCCCTCTCTTCTTTTCCCTTCTTCTTGGTATCTTTGCCTATTTGCATGCTGTTATCCCACAGTCTACGTTACTACTTTCTGACCAGAATCCCATTGAAATAAGACCAGGTGTATATGCACCTGAGGATGTATAGTGTATCAAGAATGTTTTTCTGGTAAGTTACAGTCCTCGTTTCAAAACTCTAGGCTGTGAAGCCCTTTGCAGGAAATAGGAGCCACTGGGGACTGCAGGGCTGCCCACTGTGGGTCTGTGGGGTGTGAACGTGCACAGGTGCTTCCTACCTGGTAGCAGGCCCCAAGCTCACAGGTGGGACAAGCTTCGGGCTTGGGTCTGCCTCTGTGTTGGCAAATAGCTCTCTGTGCAGAGAGGCCTTGGCAGAGGTGGAGGTGATGAGGACCGTGCTGGGAGCCCAGCCCCTCTCTGAGCCTGCCCAACTGTATTACCTGTTGGCATCTCCGGTCTCCACCATGGCTGTGGCTCCAGGTCGAGTTAGAGAGTGCACAACAGGAACTAGCCATTCTGAGAGCACCCTTTCTTTCCGGCCACTAGTAAGGAAGGGCACACCCCGGGGATTTGCTCAGTGTGTGCGCTCAAGAGGGTAGCTGATTGGTACAGTTTAAATGAAAACTCTGAATAGGAAGTATTGCCCCTGGAGGTGTTTACCTTAGCAGAGATGTAAGGGGCTGCGCCACAGGCACAGGAGCATGCAGTTGATTCCGATGAGGACACCAGTCCTACACCCCGAAACTCTCCTGCCTGGACAGCGAGTGGCACCTTCTCTGCGCCAGCCTTCTCTCCATGACCGTCTAGCTCACCCTGGCAATCATCCCCCGCCCACACCAAACTTGTTATTGCCTGAAAATTAAAAAATAAAACCCACACAGTATGCTCAAATGTTTTCCTTTTTATATCATTTCCAACAGGTTAGCCTGGTGGCTTTTGCTTCACGGTGGCACTGCTTTTCTAAACACGTTCATCCAGTTGGCCTGTGTGTGCCGCACGTATCTGTGTGTTACCATGCGTGCTGCCCGAATGCCGAAACACACTTCTAAAACTGAGACTGGATGCATTTTTAGGAAACAAAAAAACTTTATTTATAAAAATAACTTACAAATTGAGATTTTGAAATGCGATTGTTCGTCGTGTGCGCCGATTTGCAGCCCAGGAGAGTTTTCTGTGTTTTTTTTTAAAATGTAACTTTACAATACTATTAATGTCACAAACCGCGTAACAGAGCAGTTTTCTTTCCATTTCCCGTGCCGGTACAAAACACCACACAGATATAAAACTATGGTAAATAAAACATTTTAGCCAAGACTGGCATATATTTATATATTTATATATACTTATATATATAACATTTTCAAACAGCTAACAATTAGTGTCATCCTTAGTCAAAACCGAAGTCAAACTAACCTTAAAACTACAACAATCCGAATATACGTCAGCGCTATGCCTCCCAAACAATATTTAAAATATATTTAACTTTCAAATACATTTATAAGGTACGCCAAGAGTGAGAAAATAAAGTCTTACAATTTAAATACAAATCACCATATAAAAACAATGCAGGAAACACAGAAAGTCCTATCTTACAGAAGTCCAGGCAAGCCTGTCCTCAGCTGGCTCCGACGCACAGCACTGCCTGCTGCACACTGTCGGCACGCACAGCCAAACGACAGCCCCGTTGTCAAGAGAAAGAGAACGGACCCACGGGGACGCGTGCCCGCCTCTTCACGCCACTCAAGCATCAAGACCCGAAGCTACTTTGCTTTGCTCTAGAAAACCACAGGGCCTGTTCAAAAGCACGCCGGTCCCAGCGCCTGTGCAGGGCAAATCACTTGGTGCTCTGCTCCAAGGCAGAGTACTCTGTTTCTGAGACTCTGGAGGCATCGATGAGCTTGGTGAGCCCGGTTTTGGCCGAGTACTTGAAGATGAAGGCCTTCATCAGCTCGTACCTGTAGTTGCGATTGATGAAGCTGTAGAGGACAGGGTTGACGCAGCAGTGCACCAGTGACAGGCACTGCGTGACGTGCAGGGCCGTGAAGAGGGCGTACTCCAGCCGGCAGGTGAAGGGGATGTAGTGCAGGATGGAGAAGATGTCCAGCAGCACCGCGACATGGTAGGGCAGCCAGCAGATGAGGAAGACCACCACGTAGGAGAAGATGATCTTCCGGCTACTGTGCTTCTCCTGGTCGCCGGACGCCGAGATGGCTCTGGCCAGCAGGAAGTAGAAGACAGCGATGATGGAGAAGGGAACCGCGAAGCCCAAGATGACGGAGACCAGCTCCATGCCGATCAGCCACTCCTTGATGCTGTGCTCGGGGTAGAAGGACCGGCAATAGGTCTCATTGTTGGACGCAGATGTGATGGTCTTCAGGTAGTAGGTGTCGGGCAGAGACACGCAGAAGGCCAGCAGCCACACCAGGACACACACGACCCGGCGCACCATCTTCTTCCTACTGCTGGAGGTGTTGGTGAAGTAGGTGATGGAGAGGTAGCGGTCCACACTCATGCACGTGAGGAAGAAGATGCTGCCGAAGAGGTTGATGGAGAAGATGAGGTGCGTGACCTTGCACGTGAGCTCGCCCATGGGCCACTGGTTGTGCTGCACGAGGCTGACCACCCAGACCGGGATGGTGAGGACGACCCACAGGTCGGCGATGGCCAGGTTGAGGATGTAGCAGTGTGTGTCGTAGCCCGTGGTCTTGGCCTGGACGTTCACCCAGACCACCACGGAGTTGGCAATCATGCCGATGACGAAGATGAAGATGTAGATGAAGGAGAGTGTGTAGAGCAGGATGCTTTTGTTGGGCATGTTGGGGCACATCACCGTGTCCACCACGATGCAGTCGCTGCTGTTACACGGCCAGCTGATGTCCGAGAAGTTCCCCGGCTCCGAGTAGTCGAAGAGATGCAGATCCATCGTGCTGAGGGGAGCGACCGAATGACCTACGAGAAAAGCGAAGGAAAAAGACGCAAAAGTCACTTCATTAGGAAAAACTCAAGTTTCAGGCAAAATGCTTCTCCAGGACCCTGACAAGCTCAGCTGTTTTGGTTTAGCTCTGCAATGTCTTTGCAAAGAAGGGAGAAAAGAAAACATCCATAATAGGACTTCCAAAACAAAATAAAACACACCCCAAATCTAAATCCATGCCGACTCCAAGACAGAAACTGTGTTTGCTTTCTTCATTTTTTTATGGCTGTGTTCTCAAGACACCGTCAGCCTGGCTGTGCCCAGGCTGTGAAATCAACACAGTACGGGGGCCAAAGAAACGTCAGGTGGCTGAGCCCCGGCCACGGAGATGATGGCCCGCTTGCTTTGAGCAGGGAACAGTGGAGCTGTTTTATCTACGTCCCCATAGAATGGCAGGGTTGTCTGCTCCCGGCACTGCTGCGTTACAAGTGTCCCGCTTTGGTGTCTTAATGAAAGCATTTCAAATCCTCCTCCAAATTCGCACTGACAATGTGACTCAGCGCTTTTTACCTTTCTGCTAAATTCACATGCCAACCTGGGTGTCAGGCGGCCCCAGCGTGCAGTCATAAAGCCTCTGCAAACACAGTGAGCCTAGGCAGGTTGCCCCGCAGTGTATCTGCGCCCCAAACCTGAAGACTCTGAGCTGGCTGGGTGGTAGTTTTCAACGAAGGGCAGCCGACCAGCTGTCTCGAGCTCTGGGTCAGCACCTATTCTTCCATTCCTTTATTTGTTCAACTGCTTCCAGAGCAAAGTGTGCCAAGACCCAAAGCACAAAGATCACCACCTGCTGCATTTCAGGAGGGCTGACGATTTTCCCAACTGTTCTCCCTGCGGACCTGAGGTGAGGCCAACACTCCATCACCATTTAACTCACAGCCAGAATTCAGCCACACAGTACCACTCATCAGACAGCGATTTCTCCAGATAGACTGACAGGCTGTCTACTGTCAGTCCGTCCCTAGGAAGGCCCTGAAATCCCTCCAGGCCATGGTCCTGGGTCAACAATTAGCCCTCCCCAAACCCCACTGCACAATTGTGGGGGGCAGGTAAAGTGAAAACATCGGCTCAAGGGTGCACTGTGGACAACTGACATTGTTGGCAGGCGAAGCCACAGCTGGGAAGCCGCCTGCTCCAAGATCAGACATTCCTGGGTTGGAACTCTGGCTCCTTTATTAATCAGCATTTAACTTGAGAGCTAATCTGTCTGTGTCTGCCTCCCCAGGAGAACAGCACCTATCTCACAGAAGGTGAGAAGAAAGGGCCTAATTCGGAGCTTGGCCCTAGCAGATGCTCAATAAAACGTCACCCCCTTCTCCCTCCCTGGCCAGGAAGAAAGAACCCTGGGGACTCTCCCACCTAAGGGGAGCGGTTTTTCCCTTCCGCAAAAAGCAGAACCTTGTTTAACTCTGTGCCCCTTGAAAAGTGGCTCTTACTGGCTAAGTAATAAATATCCCCAGTGGAGGGAGACTCACAAGCCCACACAGAGCCTGGGCTGTTTGATGGGTTTCTCCTTTGGGACAAGATGACAGAATCCCTGAAGAGTGAGAGATTTAGCTGCCTCAGCTGGGCAGCCTCAACACGGCATGCAGAGGACCTCGTGTAAACCCTGCTGAACGGGGGCTGCTGCAGGCTTCTGGGCATTTCCCTCTGCAAGATGTAAATGACCGTGAGGTCCCCTCCTGGTGACCCAACCTGGCTCAGTGTCCTCCACGGCCGAGAGAGAGAGCTGGGCCTCCCATGACGGCCACATCCCCTGCCCACTCTGAAAGCCCTCTGTGGAGGAAACCACACTGCTTATGCAGCGGGAGGCCTGGCTGTCCTCAGAGTCACCCGCTAGGAGGAATCAAGCCCTGTGACCATCAACTTATCACAAAGCCTGATGCCCAAGCATGGGGGGCATGCCCGTGAAGGTGAGCAAGGTCAAGGTTAGGACAGAAACCCAAAGCAGGAGGCTCAGCACACCTGTCCTAAGACACAGCTCTAGAACGCCAAAAGGACGTAGCCCCTGCAGGTAGCTGAGGACACCCTGACCTGCCAGACTGCCCCCAGGGTGGACAGCCAGCCCCAGGCTGTGCCTTGAAGCTACTGTTGCCACCTTCCCTTGGCCACCAAATGACCCAGAGCCAACGCTCCACTCTCCACCCTGTGATTCCAGGAGACAAGAATTTCGCCTTCGCTCTCCCGCATGGCTCTACTGCAATGACCCTTGTTCCTTTTTCCCATTTCCTTAAAATGAAACTCATCTGCATTATAGCTTGGTTTATAAACCACTTTCACTCCGTGATCTCATTGGAATCCTAGGGGAGCAGAGGAGCTTGAATGGAGGATGTCTCATAGCTGGATAGCAGCAGGGACAGCAGCTGGGTCCAGAGGGCAGCTCAGCTGGTGCCTGGCGTGGGCTCCCTGCTCTGTTCCCACTGGCACAGCCACCAGCCTCAGCAGAAACTGCCATAAATCCTGGGGTCTGGGCCATTCACAAGAGCCACAAAGAAAGAAATGACCCTCAGTCTTTGTTTGCCTGAACTTGGATCCCAAACCCACCCACGTCCCTCCCTGACCTTGGAGACATTCCTGTGGCTCGGGTCTCACTCGCCCTCCAGTGTACAGACATGGCAGGGGCCAGATGGCCAGGCACGTGGCCACTGCTCAGCACAGACAGGCTCCTGCAGGACGCAGGGTCACTCACTGAGAAGACACCTGGTTCTCACATCTCGAGTGTGTCCTTCCTTCCCTGGTCCTCCACTCTTAGCACAAAACAGACACTCACCCGCCTTGAGCTGCCAGTCTTTGCTATTCTCAGAGCCCAGAGTGGGGCTGAGAGGTAGAGAAGGGCTCAGGGACCCCCATCCAGCCCTTGGGTTTCTACCTCTGTCCCCTTGGGAGAAGAAAATTTGACTTAAGGACCATTGGTCCTCCAAGTCAGAAACTATTTCTGAGACAGGCACTTCCCTGCTTGGCTGTCCTCACTCTGTCCTTGCCTCTCCCCTCCTGGGTGATAGAGTGCGAAACTTCCACCAAGGGCATGGCTGTTGCTACCCAAGGTCTGAATGAGAAAGCAGAGGCTGGAGCTCCTCACTGCCCCACCAATCACTGCTCACCAATCATCAGTCTCTGATCACTGATCCTCAATCATTAACCACCAGTCAGCCCAAGGAACAGCACCCCACATGGAGACCAGCCAGGAAACGAAACCAGAGGCCCACGCCCTGATCACCTGCTTTCCTCCAGGGGCCTGGACGGGCCTCTCCTTCCCACCACCAAAGTCTCCACTGGTCAGATAAAGGAAGGGAAGTACAGAGACAAGAAAGCGTAAGCAGACAGTGCAGTCATCAGGTCCTCTGCAAATTTAAATGGAAGCTGAAGATACAAAACAAAACCTTCATACAATAGCTCAGCCTTCTGTCATTCCGGCATGTTTCATGCATTAGGTTTCAGAAACAAACAAGGGCTGTTTCCAGAAAACAGATTATTATTTGACAAGGACAATCCCCTTATTCAAAACAGGGAACTGCCACGTAACATGGAATGCGGTCTGCGACAAAGGCTCCGGCCGCCCCAGCCTGCGTGCGGGACGTCTAGGGCGGGCAGGGCCCACGTTCGTGGGGCACCATTCACTGACGGTGTGCCTCCGCCACTGGAGCAAAGAATCCTCCTAAATCACCTGCTTAGATCTTAACAAGTGACTCTCTCGGAATGCCTGACGGAACAAAAGCTTCATAGGGCAAACCATGAAATGTGTAGCCTGGGCCCCTGGTTCCCAAAGGCCTGGTGACAAAGCTCTCTGCAAATCTGAGTGGAGAGAGGGAGGGAGGCCTCTAATGAACCCCCGGAGGGCCCTGCACAGGAATCACAGCTCCCCTCAAGCAAATGCAGGGGATTACCTCATCCCATACAGAAAGAGCTGACTGCATTCCGCACAAATCTGGATGGGCCAGCCCTTGGGTCCTTGTCTACATTCTTAATGCCTCTCCGCTTGTGCCCAGGTCTGTTTATGCTGGGAAGCTGGGATGGCAGATAACCACAGGGCCGGAAGGAGACATCCTCATTCCACTGAGACCAGTCACCCTCTGCTGGAATCAACCAGCAATTCCATTCCTGCTTGAGGCCAGGGTCTAAGAAACATGTCTGGGTGTGAATCAAACCTGCCCACTGCCTGCGTGTCTGTGGCCTCAGTGCCCACATCAGGGCGGGCAGGGAAATGAGACTCACTTCTGACTTAGGTTTTAAGGTTTCTGCATAAAAGATTCCAGGTAGTGGAAGAAAGGAGGCGGGGGCACAGAACAAAGGATGTTTCTTTCCGGCTCAATATGATGATACAAATTGACGTTTTTTAAAGCAGCATTTATTTACTAGCAAACAGTGGAGATGACAAATGCCTCTCAATAGAGGCGTGACTCAGTAAAGCCTGGTGTGTCTGCTGTCTGGAGTACAATACAGCTGTGACAGGGAGGCCTCCCTTCATCCACAGGGAGAGTTATGACATGCCGTTGAGTGAAAGAAAATGTGCAGACACACACACACACACACACACACACACACACCGCACAATCCCAGCTGTGCAGAAGGAAACACAAAAATTACATTTGTGTATTTCTGTATGTAAATATATGTGCACGAAGGCATAGAAAAAAGACCTACGATAAGTATAAAACTTGGGGCCAGGAGGGAAGAAGGAGGGAACAAAAGGAGGCTTGTAGTTTTAGCTCTATAAACTTCTGTGTGATTTGAAATTTGACATCAAGAACTACGTAAATTTTAATAGAGGGAGGAACGGTCCACAGAACAATCAATGTTCCCGTTCCATTTTTGTGGACCACAGAGACCCAACGGAGAAGGAAAAGCAGTGAATGTCCATTTTCATTCCCCTTTTCCCAGCGCTTGCTCTGTTTTATCTCATGCATTCCTTCGTATGGGAGTCTTCTTTTCAGTGGCCTTGTCGCACATTGCAGTGATGGAAAGAGAGCTTTCCCGTGGC